CATTATCTACAACGGGCACAGTAAAGACGTTTACAGTAAGTCTTTCTACGACAGACCAACGGACCACGAGTGCCCCTGTCGGTCAACCAATCACGCACCGCGGTATTTTGCGTCATCGCGCGTCACGATGCACGACGCTGTAGCCAATTAGCTCCGGTACGTGTCTGTACCGCGCACTTTGAATGGCTGCATCTGTACATTCCAATTTGTACATTCAAAACACCCTTTCAGGCTTTTTATAGCTTCTGGGGGCCAGACCTTGACTGATTTAACTTTTGATTTGATATTTTTTTATTTCAGCTTTTTAAATAAGCAAAATTATTGCGTGATCTGAATTTCCAAGCGGTGCTTTAAGATAGGCGCGATAAGAGGGGGCCAACATGCAAACATTTAGGAAGTTTAATAGTTTACCTTTCAAAGATAAATGCCAAGTATTGTTAGGGTATCATCAGAAATATTGGAAGCACACAGAATTTGTAATTTGGATTTTTGTTTTTGTGCTTTTACATGACATTTGTGAAAGTACGTAGCGCCAGGGCAAATTGTGCATATTTTTTTCCTCTCTGTGAAAAATATGTCAGTAAAAAAGTAAACACACAAAAAGCATTTTTGCAAAGCTATATTTTTCTAGTTTGTTCCTTTAAATATTTACAATTTTTTTTAGAAAACGGGGAGAACCTTTTCTTCCCAGCAATAAGCTTTTGAACATCATTAACATTGCTACAGGGGGTCACAAAAATGGTGAATATCTGGAATTGACAAAGCAATTAAGCAAAGCAATAAGTAAAAATATATCCATAATCCTAGCATGTGAATGTTTTCTCTGGCACAGCTTTGGTGAAAAGAGTAATGATTCAGGCACACTTGGTTAAACAAACATTAACAATACAATACAAACACAATGCTACACACGAAAAAACATTTACAGACAAGGCATTTCAGAGGTCTAATCACCCAGAAAACTCCAGACTCCTACAAAGTATTAAACTCTTAATGCCTACGGAGCCTTAAAAAGAGATAAACTGCCTTTCTAAATAAATGCAATACAACCTGCAGTTATATATCTCTCTCTGCAAACCTGCATGCCACAAAATAAATGTGAGTCTACAGTGTCTCCCTATTGTAAAAATGCATCCACAAGCAGGAAAGATGTCTCTAACTGAGGTATCTTTTACCCAGGAAACCCAAGTTTCCTAAGCACACAGAATAGCAAGTTCACTCTAGAAAACTTCAAATACCTAGCACCAATCAGGTTTTGTTTGGATAATTAAGAAGTAGGGGCTCTCGCGTGGCACAACCTTTAAGTTCCAACTCCTCCTGACTCCTCTCTTGAGGTCTGACCTTCTTTCTCCTCCTTTTCCTCTCTTCTTTCTTCTTGTCCTCTTTTCTCTCTTTTTCCTGTTGTCTTTTTTCCTCTCCTGTGTTCTTGATGTGATCTTATATCCTCAATTTCCCTTAGGGATTAATAAAGTCTTATCTATCTATCTTATATGGTGTGTTTTTAGACTGCTTATTGACAATTGTTAACCGACAACTTTATTAACTAGGTAAACCAACAAAAACTTTACAATTGTTCTTGATCAGCTTTGGAGCTTGAAGTGTTTACACTGCCAGGTGTCACACTTTATCTGAACTCTTAGAGACACCTCCTCTTATGTCTACCTAAATAAAGGATAACTACTGACCTAAAGTTACATTTTTTGCATTCTTTTATGTAGCACATGAGTTAAGTTTTTGTATTATTTGTACTATACAAAGGAGTTGATTTTCAAAGAAATTGAAAAGTGATTAATTCAAAACTACTGTACAATGTCTTTACTAAAAAGAAGCAGCAAAATGCACTAGTTTTAAGATTTTATATTTGCATCACTGGAATTATAAACCTACAATAGGTTTAGATTGATTTAGTAGATTCGGGGAAGAGTTTATAGGAGTTTCTTTAGTTGCAAAGAGGGCAATATTCAGAATCCACCTTTGTTGAAACCATTTAGTTTCCATAAATCTAGAACATTTTTTTAGCTGATTTGGGATTGAAAATGATTTCATGATTTACTTATTTTTCATGGTGAGATAAGCTATTCATTTGCTTATCACTTTTTGTGATAAGCAAATGAATAGCATAACAATGACAACCATGAAATGCACAATACAATAAGCAGGGCATTTTTGTGCCATCATTTCACATTTTAAGTAAAAATAAATAAAAAATCAAATTAATCTATTTCAGGCTACATAAAGATCTTGGGAATGTAAGAAAAAGTTACTTTAGTTACTTTGAATGTCAAAACCTGTTCTATGATTGTTTTTTGTGATTTTATTATTTCATATATAATAGTGATACATTATTTTTTTTCACCAGGCTCACAGCTTATGTTGCCAAAATTTTTGGACTAGCTTACTCCCTGATTTCTGTGGATGACAGAGTTTTATGTGGAGCAATAAAATGGCTTATTCTCAACAAGCAGCAACCTGATGGAATCTTTAAAGAGGATGCCCCTGTAATTCATGGAGAGATGGTGGTATGTTTCTGTTGAGAAGATTACATTTTTCACTTTATATTGGAATCCACAAAACTCTTCCTACGTACTCCATAAACACTTGTAACATGCTAATTGCAAAGAGATATATATTTTAATTTTTTTTAATACAAAAATATGTATATAATCCCATCACTCTTTGTTTGATTTGATTTATTTATTTTGACTGTTACATTAACTTTCTAGAACACTTTGTTCTGTAGTCACTACCTCCTAAAATGAAAGCTTTATAATAGCAATTTATATCAATATTATAAAATAAACCATGTACTGTATTTGCCATGGACAGTTTGAGGCGAAAGGTATGAAATAATTAGATTGCAATCATATTTCTTTGAAATATGACAAATTAATTAATTGAAATAACATTATATAATACTGTAAAACTGTGCACGCTTTAATGAAGAATAAAATAGAATAGAAAAAAAACATTGCTTAGGACTTGTACTGTTAAAGGACAGTTTTATATTGGTGTTCTGCATTATTCAATTATCATGCTATAACATGCTTTATTAACACATAATTGTATAAAGAACTATTTATTCAATTGTTGAATAACAATTAAACAACTGTTTAATTCAATTTATAATCCAAACTAGTTTACTAACTGATACTGCTTATATATCATTGACAAATAATGTGTTGCAAGGTATGAACATATCCATAAAATACTACTTAAAAGACTGAAAACATTCATCCTTTTGGTAAGACATTCAATGTCTTTTTTGCTTTCATTTTCATTACTATTAAATATGTGTGGATGTCTTTAACACTTTCTAAACTAATGAAATTAAATATTGTCACTTCCCATCAGCTTAGAAGTGTTTTTAAATTGTAACTATAATACACTAGAACATAAATTGTTTGTAACCAGTAAGCTTACAATCTGAACATTTTCCATATAACAGCAATGTTGATGTTTTGTTCTGATAAGTGCATTGTAGACAGGTAGTGATGTTTCTAGACAGATCCTGTATATCAAAGCATTTCAGTCTAGTTTCACACCATATTGACATAAAAGATAAAGCAGGGGAATGTGAATTCACATATATTTGTTGACAATAAAAAACTTCACCTTTTGTAACATACAAATTGTAATAATAATGCAGGTAATGTAGAGTTGAATATGAAGATTCACAACAGAAATTAATCATTAGACATTGCATGATACACTACATACAACAAGTATTTATGAACAGAGAATATCAGTCAGTAGTTTTAAGACACAAAAAGATTACAAACATAAGGAGAGAGCTTGGTTCTCCTAGTTTATATTGTTTGTTAGTAAAATAAATTGATGCAAGAACCTTTGAAGAGTGCTGATGTAGATGATGAGGTAAAATTTACAGGTGGACTTTTTTGTGTAAATAAATCCCAGCAATTGTCAGTCACTTGCTTTTTAATTTCCATGCATGTCATGGTCATGTTGCTCATTACAAGCTTTAAATTGGTCATTTTTGAGTATTGCACTTAAATCCAAATAGTGTTTTTTTTCTGTTTCAAGTACAGGTAATATATTTTTAGTGCAGGAAACTTTCTCTTTTTAAATATCTGTATAGAACCAATGTCTTCTTTGAGTAGTCATAGTTGTAGTAGTCTGTCCAAAATAGAAATAGGGGTATAATTCTTAATGTAGAACAAAAATGAAATAAGCTATAATCTTAGCAATAGGCTGAAACTGTGTACAAAAACATTTTCTTGTGTGTCCAAACCATTAAAATTGTTTTCTTTTGTATGTTTTTAGGGAGATGTACGGGGAAAAGATGCAGACGCTTCTCTGACTGCATTTGTTGTGATAGCAATGCAGGAATCAAGGGAAATTTGTGGTCAACAAATACAAGTGAGACAGATTTTTTTTCTTATACTGTTTTATGGAAACCAAAAATATATCCAGAGAAACCTAGAATCCCAGTTAATTTTTTTTCTTTAAAGCAAAAAACAGGCTGTTCTGAGATGATCACTTTCTGTTCTTCTTACCGTGGAGTTATATCTCAGCTGTTTTTTATCCTCTTTAGCCTTAACTCATAGCACCTCAGTCCTTTCACAACACTGTAAATTAGTCTTTCCATCATCTTTAGATACTGGCCTTGTTTTGAATGACAACACCCTACAGCAGGTGTTAAAGCAAAAGTGTTACGACCCCAAGTGTCTAGGAGAAAAAGGGTGTAACATTTAGGATAATTTTTGGAAGCAGGTGAGTTCTGGTGAGGGACTAGGAAGCATGATAACAAGGGTTGGTGCAAAGGTGATGAATTTAAGTTGAATAAGTGACTGGTAAGACACGATAACACACAGGTGTAAGGAACTAGAATGGTGCCAAAGAAAAGAAAATAGCAAACAAAAATGGAGCTGGCTAGGAAACTGAGGGAAAGCTAACCTAAATACAAAAGAAAACCCGAAACACGGTCTCCTGCGTCTTCTACACCCTAGCTAACCTCCAATGACTACCCAAAACCATACAAGACAAATTGTACTCATTTGTTCTAAACTAGTGTTACTAATACAAAATCATCTAAGTGTGTAGAATGTACCCAACAACCTAGACTAACCTTATACACAGAGGTTCACACAAAATACACAAGTGAACTAGGAATACAAATAAGGGAAAACGAGAGTAATCAACAGGAACAGGGTACAAAAGAACACAATGGTTGAACCTATAACACGTCAGGGCAAGGTAATGGCGAAACAAGGATAAACACAAACAAATGAAAGTACAAAGAGAATAACATAAACCAACAAACCAACAAAGCCAAAGCTATACGAAAGCGCACACACACACAAAGCAAAAAAACAAACCAACAAAGCCAAAGCAAAATCAGAAGCAAATCAAAGCCGAGCGGTACCAAAGTCAAACGAAAGGCCTCCATGTTATATACTGAATAAGACGCACTCTGATTGGCTGAGAGGCTGATTGATGATGATATCATACTGAAACAGTGGTGTAATGGTGGACCAATGGGAGTCCATTACAATTGGAAAACAATCAAGGTAAGTGTGGATTATAACAACAAAGATACAGACCACACACTGGGATGTAACAAAAATACATTTTACATTCTTTTGAAAAGAATCCTGAGTTCTTCCACTTCAGATCCAGACCCAGATTCCATAGGCAACATAGGGTCAGACGTCATTGGCCAAAGATGTCTCAAACAAGACACCTTGTCTGGAGGGTCAATACAAAAATGCCATAATATAAGTTGAAACTTATATTAATTATCTTTTAGATTGAAAGGGTTAGAGAACATCACATGCTGCACTTAAACGTGAATTATGCATATAGATGCAGAAAATCAAAGCTGATGTGGGAAGACAAAATACATACTGTACAGTATATAAAGTTTAAAGAATTCTATCATTTTATTTCATTTAACATTGAAATGTTGTACTCTTCCAGAGCATGGAAGGCAGCATCAATAAAGCAGTTCAGTTCCTGCAAAGACGCATTAGAAGTCTCACTAATCCATATGCTGTGGCCATGACAAGTTATGCTTTAGCTCTGAATAAACAAAACACCATAGAAACTCTAATGAAGTTTGCTTCAGCAGGTAGGTGTGAAAGCCTGTATTTTTCATCTGTAGTGATTTTCTAAAGATATTTTTGAAAAGTTGTTTTAAAAAACATTTTATTAAGACTTAGCCTTTTTTTAATAAAACACTGTATTAAATCAGTATAATAATCCTACATTTTCAGTTATATTCCTCCATTGCTCTGAAAATCCCTGACTAAAGATTTTTTTAAAGAATTAACTTAATCACTTAGTTTGTATAGCTTGGAAGCACTGTGTTATTTTAAAGTATTAATTTCAATATTTTTATCCCAATGTTAAAAGTTCACAATCTGCAGGGAGATCAGACAGTTAATGACATTTCTCTGATCCAGTGCTCTCTCAGATTTACAGTATATTGTAAATTATTATTTATCTTTGTTCAGATAAAAGTCACTGGCCAGTCCCTGGTTCCCATCTGTTTTCTTTGGAGGCCTCATCTTATGCCCTTCTGGCCCTATTGAAGTACAAAGAATTTGACCAAGCTGGTGCCATAGTGAGATGGTTAACAGAGCAGAGGTTCTATGGGGGAGGATATGGCTCTACACAGGTATGGCTTGTTTATTCAGTTTGAACAAACTATGTGAATAAATAAAACAAAGCAGTGGTTCAGGAAAATAACTTATTGTGCATGTACCGATTTTTTATAGACATGATCACACATGATCACATTAAAGCAGGATGGTAGCACAGTAGTTAGCACTGTTGCTTTGCTCCGCTGGGGCTTTGGGTTCCATTACTGACATGGGATTCTATCTGCATGCAGTTTTGTATGTTTGTTGCTCAAGAAACACGTGTTTAAATATCAGCAAGACCTCAGAGGACTGACGCATTTGTAAAATAAAAGGTTGATTTCATGACTTCTTCTGACAAATGTTTATTCCATTTTCTTATTACTTGTTACATGACCTAAAGAATGAAGAGTCTTGTCATTTTGTTTTAGGCCACGATCATGGTGTTCCAGGCTGTGGCTGAATACAGGATCCAAGTACCTCTTTTCAAAGACATAGATCTAGATGTTGAAATTTCTCTGGCTGGTCGTTCCAAGCCAACTAAATGGAAAATTGTCAATAGCAATGCCTACGTTGCCAAATCAGAGAGGGTAAGTGCCATGTCCTAAATATTACTATCACATGCCCTGTGTGCCATAAAGTATAATAGGAAGGAACTATATACTGTATATATAAATTAAACCTCAAGTAACTAAATTATTTAATTTTTATTGAAAGAATCTTCTAATTATAGTTTTTTGATAACAGAGGCAAAATGCCTGAATGCATACATGCTGTATATATTTTAAGACATATTTCTAGTTTCCCAGGAGCTTTTTTCATGTGGTGGTTTCCATTACATTGCCTCCCAAATGAAGTGACAGATGGAGCATTTTAGCATAGCATTTTAGGGAAGCTATAAGAGCACATATATATATATACTCACCATCAACTCTAGACTTTAGATAATATACATACTAATGTACAGAACTACAGAAAACAATTTTCTAAATAACAAGATTTTAAATCAAACATGCAACACATTCAGCATGTAATAATATCATGCAACTTTGTTTCTAACCCCATAAAATCCTGCACAATGCTATGTTGTGTGTTTGTCTTTTAACATTGCAATTGTAACATTATTTACCAGAAAGAAAAGCACTTTTTAATAAAAGAGAACCATGTCCATTTAAGTAGGAGATGCAGAACTGAAAAAAGTTCCACGAAAAGCCACATGGCTTTTCTGTGTAACAGATATTTGGGGTACATCGTAGCAGGGGCACAGGTGCACATTGTTATTAATAAATAGGCAGCAATTAAGAACTGCCCTAAGCCTGTAAATGAAAAAAAAAAACATTTACAGGCATTTTTAGGTTTTATGGGATATCATCGCCATTTTGTTCTCAGGTTTGCTGAAAGCCCCACTCATAGACTTCATGAAGGCCATAAGGTGCCCCTAATGTGGTAAAACAGACCCACAAAGGATGAAAAGGCATTTGCAGATCTTACCAAAGTATTGTGTCAGGATACTGTACGTAAAGTTCCTGACTTTTCAAAGCAATTGATTTTGTATACAGATGTGTCTGATATGGGTCAGGGGGCTATTCTATTCCAGGTTTTGGACTTGGAAGAGCATCACATATTGTTTTTTAGCCGCAACCTACTGTATAACAAAGTGAAAGGAACTATATGAGTAGTGGTGTGGGAATGTCTGGTTCTCAAATGGGCTGTGGAAGCATTACATTACTTCTTGGATTATAAGTTTACATTAGTTACAGTTCATACCATACAAATGTTAGGGCATTGAAAACATATTTTCAATTTCATAAACATAATGAAAATAAACATACATTGCAATATTATAAATGCTGTTAATACATTTGCCTGGCTCACAAATGTCTAGCATTACTTTGTTAGATCTAATAAAATTTTCACACAAAATTAATTGGGATTTAATTAATGAATTTTTCTCCTCTAAAAGAAGAAAGATAATTCTGAATGCCATTCTTTACCTGAACAATGATATCAATAACACAGAAGTAAGAATGTGAAAACAAGATAAGAAAGGAGGTAAAAAGGAGTGGAGTCTTTTAGTTTTGTAAATGTGGGACATGTTGGTAACACTTAACTCTTTTGACTGTTACAGGCCAGACTTGATCAGAACTTTACGCTTGTTGCTAGAGGAAAAGGCCAAGGCACCATGTCAGTAAGTGTCCTAATGATCTGTCCAGTTACATGTCCCAGACTTAATATTAAAGCTGTACATATATTGTCTGGAGAATTAAGGTATAACATATACAGATGCAGCCATTCAAAACAAGCGGGCGATACTGGATTATTTTGCGGTGCGCTTTACGCAGTCTACCGTGAGTTACCGTAAATTCTCCTATAGTACAGCATAGGTAAAATAATAAGTAAAATAATAGTATCCAGAATTTCTAATAAAGCTAATAAAGCTCAACCTCTCATGTTTGAGCTGACGCCCTCAAAGTCTTTAACGAAGATATTACTAATAGTATTAATAATAAATGACCTTGGACAAGCTGTAAACTCAAAGTATTGCCTCGGTCCACATTCTTTTTTTATTGACCGTCTTTGTAAAAGTAACACCACAGCATTTCGCAATCACGCATTTGTTTCTAATCATGCAAAGTACAGTAATTTTTGAGACTCCGATTCACCATGCCTTTCACATGCTCATAAAGAGATTGATTTAGGAACATAAACATATTACTGTATGCAAACTGTACTGTATACAGTATGTATATGCATATTTAATGTCTATCCTGTGCCCGTTTAAGTATTGAATATTTATATGGAATTTTACCACTGAAGGGAAATCTTAGTAGCTAAGCATAAAAAGAATAGGAGCATCCCGTAACGCGTGTGAAGGCCATAAACTATATTAATTTTGGAACATAAACATACAGTATATGGCTGGTCTCGGTACTTTAAAGAAAAAATACACACCAGTTTTCCATTTCTCCCTAAACATTTTAAGCATCGAAGTCTTTAACTAACGTGATACCGGAGTCAACAAGCATACTTTTAGAATTTGATTAAAAGGGAATATAATATGGAATCGCGTATCTAAAGAAATTAATAACGAGATAATTATATTCATGTACCGCAACAGTACATTTACCATTTTCGTACAATTCAAAATTCAATTCAGCGTGTACAATTCAAAAAAGAATTATACACGCTGTATGATAAAACATTTCCCTGGCTCAGAGATTAAGTAAAACTTCACTCGCACCAAACAAATTTATATTTCTAAATGTCACAACATGATTGAATTTAAGTCATTTTAATAACAATGAATAGTCACCTATGCATTACAATATAAACATTTATATTGATTTAAATCGCGTTTAAATCGCCTTTATTTAAAACCCATAAATAAAGCTGATACTGTTTAGACTTTTAATTATTTAAAACTGTATTACAGCAACACAATGCACTATGCAACGTAAATCGCTATCTTTGTCTTCTGCGTAAAAATGGTCACCTCTCTGTCCAGCAAATGAACAATAGTAATAATAATGAACTTTATTGTATATGGCGCCTTTAAAGGTGGCTCCTCAAAGCGTTTTACAGGATAAAAACAATAACAACAATACTGTTAGGCTTGGGCAAATTATTTTTTTTAAAGAAATACAAAATGAGAAATAATGATGTGTTCCATCTTAGACATTAATGAAGAGCATAACACGTGGGTGGCGTAGCGGTTGGCTCTGGCTTTCCCATCTGCTGTATACACTGCAAGTACAACCCCCCTTTCTGCGGGAGTGCTGGCTGTGAAGAATTAAACCGGTTTCACAGGTATTTTCAAAGTAGAAGGGGGAGAGATTTCCAGCAAAAGACACCTTCCCCCCTCCAAAACCAAGGAAGTACAGTACTTACTAGTTAAGAAAGCTAGGCTCCTCAATGAAATCGCTTTAACATGGTAATGCGTTGGTGTAACAGTCCGGGGCGTGGCAAGCTTCTAATGTCAACCTGACTACGGTGAAAGGAACCCTTGTTTCATTGGAAGACAATGAACATATTCTAGCCCTGAATGAATTAATAGCAAACATGGTTTACACAAAAGACATTTTTCCAAGAAAGTTTAGCCTTTGTCACTAATGAAACCACTAAATAAAGACATAAATATAGAAATCTTAAGATATTTTAAAATACATGACTTTGCTAAAATTTATTTAAAAGTAAAAACGGTTACAAACGCCAGCTTACTTTGTCAGCACCCAGACAAAAAAAACAATGCTTTTATTCATTCTTAATCAGATGGTGAGAGTGAAGGTGGAGTGATAAGGTTGAAGGTGAGGAAAAAGAAGTGAAAGATGGGGAAGCTTAATTGACTAGAACAGGGGAGGGGTGTTTTGCATAAGGGGTGGGGCTATGGAAATGTGGTCTATTTGGGAATGTGGAGTTACATGTTCTGGCTGTTTGTGAATTATTGTTGTTGAGTATGGAGTGTTGAGGTATTGATTTTGTGTAATGCTTTATGTTGAAAATTGAGATGGATTTTATTTTTGATAAAGAGGATAAACTGGGATTGGAGGAGGGTTTGGTTTTGCATAAGGGGCGCGATTATGATAATTGGAGGAATTTGAGAGAGTTTGCGGGCTATTTTTAGTTTGTATTATGAATAAATCGTACAATATATTGAGATTTTTTGATAATTGGAGGACAGTTTTGCTTTAATGGTTTGATATATTTGATTTTGTATTGTGGTTGTTATCTATGTTTTTGGTTGGTATTATGTTTATATGGATGTTTTTTGTTGGTTGGTCGTTATTATGGTTATTATGTTTATTGTGTCATTTTTTATTATTGGATGTAATAATCGAGAGAGAGGGAGAGCGAGCGCCTTCTTTTTACTTTTGTAGCCAAAGGGCCTTGCAGATCAGATTCTCTTCCCCCTACGGAAAGACAGACACATGTTTTTACAGTTTAGAAGCCGCTCTGGATAGATTAGATTTAGAAGCCTGTGGAAAGATTAGATTGTAATCGTTTTTATTTTTTCAATACATTTTAGAAAAGTGTAATCTATACTAAAAAGCTGTATACCACCTGCTACAAAGATACATATTGTAATATGTTTGGGTTCGGATAAGACGGACACAAGAACTCAGACTTCAGAACTCGGAACTCAGACTTGCGGAGTTAAAGCAAGTTAAAGTTAAAACACCTTGAATTGAATTGAATTGAGAGAGAGCACAGCCAGGACAGACAGGCAAATAACATACACTCCACAGACATTCACAACAGTGACATATCATAAAATGTTTGCACATATTGTTAAATTATTACTTGTTTTTCAGGAAGTTAAAAATACACTTAAATTATTTATCCAGTCTCTCGAAATAAAATTATTTTTCAAGCAATGCAACTAATGTCGGGCAACTTGTTTTTTTAATCCAACATTAACAGCCACATCTTAAATCTTGTCAGTCAGCTCTTTTTTCTCTATTTGAATTGTGGCGATTCAAACAACTTGGGATAACAAACGATATTAGTTTTGGAACATAAACATACAGTATGTAAACTGTATATGGCTGGTCTCGGTACTTTAAAGAAAAAATACACACCAGTATTCCATTTCTCCCTAAACATTTTAAGCATCGCAGTCTTTAACTAACGTGAAATAACCTGTATAAAAAGTGGTAGTTTTAATCTTTCCTGCGAATACGCTCGATACCAGAGTCAACAAGCATACTTTTAGAATTATATAACGATATAATTTGGTTTCTGTAAAAGCGCAATGAATTAGTGACAATGAATTAGTGTACAATCTTTAGTTGAAATCTGAGCCTAGAAAGGAAAAGAAAAGGCATTTTCAGTGAGCAATTACGCTGTGTTTATGTAGAATAAGTGATTAGGTTTATGAGCAATCTAATTATTTATTCGTTTAAAACGCTATATGAAATAAAGTTTATTATTAATTTGCTGGACAGAGTGGTGAACATTATTATGCATAAGACAAAGATAACGATTTACGTTAAAAGACATTTAAATAAACATGGGTTTGTGATTTAAATGAGAATGGGGGTGACGGGAACTCTTAATCTAAGTAAAAATAAAATAAATAAAACAGGTTTCGATAGTTAATAGCCACTTTTTATGCACGAAACACAGGTTATTTTTCTTCCTCCTGATCAGTTTAGAAATCTGTGTACGCTGTAAGGTTTTTACTTCTTAATTAAACTTTTAAAATACACGTTTCCAATAGAAAGAAATCCAATCCTGGTACAGTATGTATAGCAGACCAGCATGTCTTTTTTCTCCAATCAGAGGGGTGTCAGATGGTGTCAGCCAATCACCATTCTGAAGCCCTACCATAATCTCTGGTATAGGGAGACCCAAGATTTGTGTCCCATAGTTTAGATAGATAATAGACACTTTTATTGATCCCGTGAAGGAAATAAAGTTATTCATTTTCATTTTAGGAAATTATTAAACGCTCGGTTAAAAGCAAAGGAGATTGTCTGTTATAGTGGACATAAAATCAAGAGTTTGCTGCGGCATTATTGGAAACCCAAATCTAACAAAAAATCGCTGGCATTATATTCTAGAAGACACAGACCGGCTCCAGACCGGGAGAATGCCCACAGCATTAAAGAAAATGCCTAATGAACTAGGGATTGGACAGTTTTCAAGTGCTTGTTCAATCTTTGGAAATGTTCAAATAAATGTGCAAAAGAAATAATCAAAATAATTATTTATTTCTTTATCATATTGGCTAGCTAATGTCCTCTCTTTGCTAGTTAGTGGCTGTGTTTCTGCATTGGGTAGCAACGGGTGACTGTTCTCAGGCGGAAGATGTAAACAGCTTAATTTTCATGTTAAATACATTTTTTTAATTAAAATTCATTCTATACAGCAATTGCATATTTGGGTACCGTTTCATAAAACTTTCATGCTTAAAATGTTTAGGGAGAAATGGAAGACTGGTGTGTATTTTTTTTAAACTATGAAGACCAGCCATACACAGTACAGTTTACGTACAAACGATTAATATCGTTTATGACCTTCAGATGCGTTATGCTCCTCTTCTTTTTATGCTCAGCTACTAACATTTCCCTTAAGTGGTAAAATTCCATATAAATATTCAATACTAAGCGGATTAAAATGTACACAGTAAAGAGATTAAATGATTAAATCTTTTCACTACCAACCAATGCACCACGAGTGCCCCTGTCGGTCATTTTGGCCAGCCAATCACATACTCTGGTGCCCTGCGGTGGCTTGTGGGTAGTTTACCATACCGTGGGTTTGTACCATGCATTTTGAATGGCTGCATCTGTACATGTACCGTAATATTTGTGCATGCAATATTTTATAGAGATACACACATTACTGTACAAAGGCGTTAGAAAAAAATTGTATTATTCTGCTCTTTTGACTCAATTATTTTCCTTCCCAATTCTGAAAGATAATTTTGTTGCCATAATATTCTCCCTGTTCTTCTTCCCCTTTATTATGAATATTTCCTAGGTAATGACACTGTATAATGCTTTGCCTGATGAAAAAAAAACTCCTTGTAAGACCTTTGATCTTGATGTAAAGATTGAGAGGGCACCAAATGGTAAGATTTTAAGCTTCTGAGAATGCAAACCTCTGGTAATTGTAAAAAAAAAAAGTTTTCTTCCTAATTTCAAACATAATTTGGGTGAACAAATTTAAACCTAGAAGATATACTGGCACAGACATATAGATTATATCAAGACAATTGATATATGAGAAAAACTGTCCTTATCCAATCAATGTGTAATGTTGCACTGCTGAGATGGGACTCGTAGCCTGATTCCGAGTTTGAAACCCTCAAGCAGATATGGACATGCACTCACTTCAGAGGGAAAGGGAAATACATGCTCTGGAGACAAGAAGCAGACTGCCTGCTTACATGCGAGCTGAGTAACCATGCACGCAGACAGTTGTGCTGCTGTGACTAGCCAGAGAACCAGAGAAGTGTAATTAGTAGCAATGGGCTAATCCAAGAAATTAAGTCTAACAGAGTAACAGACTAAGTTCAAAGCTAGGAAGACACTGAGAAGTACAAGCTATAGGGGATCAGAGAGATGAGTTAGAACCGAGGAATATACTGTAAACAAAGCTGGGAGGTGATCCAGGAGACATTTAATAAGCAAGGAGGCAGAGGTCAGTGTACTGAAGTGTAACTAGGTAAACACAAAGACAAGGTTCGAGGTGGTCAGTGTTGAAATTCAATGAGAGTGCACAAACCTCTGTCAGGTCTGAGTATTTATTCTAAATAACAACTGGAATGGACATGGTTGTAAATTGAATACATATGCTCCTAGTCTCTAGGTGATTAGATTCCATGGCAACTCACACAGGGAGACAGGTTGACGATAACATAGCCAGCACCTGTGACACAGCTAGCTCGCCCCACAGAATAGAACCTGGGGGAGCATGACACAGTGATGTTAACATCTCCCCAATGCTTTGTAAATTAACTTCACATGAGGTCATGTTTTAAAACGTCGCCTAATTACACTCTGTACCTTGTTCAAATGCTGCTTGGACAATTTCATAGGGACAGTGCTAATGACAATAGAATTGTTATCTAGTGAAATGTTGGTTTTATACCTTCATAAGTGTCATTCTTGTTTTAATCACTATATCAGATATCAAATTTGTATTCTGAAATTTAAACCTGTATGTGGTTGAATATTATGTAAATGATCACAAAATTAGTAGATATGCTAGGCTGATTGTAAATTATACAGATGCAGTCATTCAAAATGCACGGTACAAACTTGTACTGCTGGGATCTACACATGCGCCACCGCGCCCTACCGCGGTACGTGATTGGCTGGCCAAAATGACCGAAAGGGGCACTCGTGGTGCTTTGGTCAGTCGTGGAAAGATTTAATCATTTAATCTCTTTACTGTGCACGTTTTAATCCACTTAGTATTGAATATTTACATGGAATTTTACCACTAAAGGGAAATTTTAGTAGCTGAGCATAAAAAGAATAGGAGCATAACGCATCTTGGCTTTGTGCGAAAAACCTGTATATTTTATATCACCATAGGATTAACATAACAGCATAGCCTCCAATTACCCAGACCCCAAAACAAAGGAATAAAGCTTTGTTTGATTTCTGAAACCCTTTCTTTATGTCCTGTTTTCATTCAGGTAAGGGTCAACTATATACACAATACTGCTGACAGCAGGAAAATTCCTTTACTCAGCAGCATCTTAAAACCAGCACCCATGGTGTTCAAATAGATTTTTTTTACACAGAAGACTGACACAGCTTCGTGCTATGAATCTGTTTTTCTAAGAAAACATGTGAGTGGGGGAGGTGGACTTGCCCTTATTCTACTTTGAAAATATCTGTGAAATTTACAATTTCTTTCTTTACAATGTAGACACAGAGAGAGAGAGAGAGAGAGAGAGAGAGAGAGAGAGAGAGAGAGAGAGAGAGAGAGAGAGATATGCGATAACAACCTTTGCACATTAATGTAGGGCTTTCGGGCTCACTTGAATTTGCGCCCTACCGCTGTGTACATACAGTACGAACATGTTGTGATATTTAGAAATATAAAAAATGTCAATATAACACCAATAATATTTGCTATTTTAGTTTTTCAAAGAGAGTTTTATTTGTTAAAAGAAGACTGATGGCAACAGCTGGGCTTGAACACTCGACCTCCGGGTAACAAGTTAGTCACTTAAGCGAACACACCACCGAGGCAGTCATGTGAGAAGTATATCTCAACAGTACATGAATATAGTTATACTGTTATTAATTTATTTAGATACACGATTCCATATTATATTCCCTATTAATCAAATTCTAAAAGTATGCTTCTGTTTACTCCGATATCGAGCGTATTCGCAGAAAAGCTTAAAACTATCACTTTTCTCACAAAGTACTGTATACTGTATAAACGTACAGTGACATGGTCAGAAGGAGCAAGGAGCATGTAAAAACGTTTTCGAAATAACCACATGTAAGACTTTGATGCTTAAAATGTTTAGGGAGAAATAGAATACTGCTGTGTATTTTTTCTTTAAAATACTAAGACCACCAATATACAGTTTACATAATATGTTTATGTTCCTAAATGAATATTGTTCATGAGCATGTGAAAGGCATGTTGAATCGGAGATTCTCAAGAATTACTTTGTATGATTGGAAACAAATGCGTGATTGGATCAACAAAATGCTGTGGTGTTACTTTTTGTAAATGAAAAAATAAAGTATTTCCGTTTACAAAGACGGTTACAAAGACTGTGGACCAGGGTAATACTTTGAGTTTACAGCTTGTCCAAGGTCATTCGCTATTAATACTATTAGGAATATCTTTGGAAAAGACTTTGATGGCGACAGCTCAAACGCTGTACATGAGAGGTTGAGCTTTATTAGCTCCACCTGGCGGTAATTCCGGATACTATTATCCTACTAACGGTATTATGCAGTATTATACGGTAACCCTGCAATCAAAACCAATGAGTTTTGATGTTTGATTGGCTGCATCTGTATAAAACAATAACAATAATTACTGCTTCATTTACCAAAGATGGTGGCTTGAGACAAATGAAACAAATTATGACATGAAAGCATCAGTTTTGAAGTATCAGTAATAAAAGTGCTTCTATTAAAAATGTTTTAATCCATCAGTTCTTAACTTGGTATTAAGTCATGTGAAGATAAGTACAATTTAATTGTTATAAAAAGGCATTCTTCTGTACACTATTACCTTGACTGGAATATTGTTCTGAAAATACAAACTGCTTTTTTTCCAGAAAAAAAAAACTAAATTTCTCAGATATCATCAACAAAAAATAAGAACTAAAGTTTTTAACTTTAATTGGAAGCATTTAAATTGGTTTCATACTTTTTCTATAAGATTTTGATTTTCTCTTGTGGATCATATTGAACTGAAACATAGGATTCTTTTTAACATTAGTTTCTCCCCAGTAAAAATGTTTGAAGTGTATATCGTGCACACTTTTATACTGAAACTATTTCAGCAAAAATGTTGTTATTTTGCTGTAAAAGGTAGAAGATTAATGAGTGAGCAAATGTTTTTGGGAACCACAATATGGTATGTGGTGGTTCTACTTACTGTCTGCTGTATGTTTTTTTATGTAGTGCTCTGCATCTGATAAGAAGATGAATATTTATATATTTAATTATTTGAAGGCTCTCAACTTTCTAAAGAATCAAAAGTTACCACAATATACAGAATATTGGAAAAGAAGGAATTTTCATTGTTTTAATTAAATACTCCCCAAAACACAGATATGGCAGAGTTTATATATTGTGTATTGTATATACTCTGGAAAGTCATTTTATTTTATTTTAAAGCCAGGAGACCAGAAGGTGCCCTAGATACATTTAAGCTCACGATTGAAATAACGTAAGTAAAACTAGAACACCAGATTGCATGCATATTGTCCTCATACAAAATTAACTTAATTTCTAATTATGTCAAACATTTTTATTTGTATTTCCTTATACATTCTTAAATCTGATCTTCTCTTATAGCTCCACCGCTCTAGCAGCAATCTCCTTTCCTCACTCAGGTTATTTTCCATTTTCCATCTGCTTTTCAAAAGGCCGCCATTATACTGTACCCTTGTGATTCGCTCAGGATGTTTTCCATTTATGTTATAACGTGCCATCATTATGCCCCTGTGACACAGGCTGGTACGAGATGTCAAAAATAGGACGTTTAATAGGTAAAACAGACACACAAGGCACAGCCATTAAGTATAAACAGAATGAAATTTATTTGCAGTGCAGTAACCCCCAAAACAATAACCCAAACCATTTAAAGCTACTAACATCTTCCATTCATATTGTAACTATCTCACTGGACAGGTAAGTAGCTTACCAGCTTCTAAACAAACAACTCACAAAACTCTAACCTTGCTGCTAAAACTTTTCATCCACTCCAACCCAAGTTATCAAGAATACTCTTCTTTTTCCATGTTACTTTCACTCCAATTGTTTCTGAAAAACTAACTAAATATTTAATGCCATTAATTAACTTGATATATTTAATTACCCCATAATAATTTCCCTATTTTTTTCTTTTGTGGGGAACTTCTGTTCATATGTTCAATAAATGATTCTGTTACATGTATCAATAGTTACATGTAAATGTGTTTAACTATACTATTTTAGTGTGGTTAACTTGATGCAGATACTTGATATATCTGTCTTGTGGGCTTTATTTCCTGGGAAGTTTGGAAACATTCTATACTATTATTGATGTCTTTTTTTCTAGTTATCAGAAAGATACAGATGCAACAATGTCCATTCTTGATGTCACCATGCTAACTGGATTTATACCTGATTTTGAGGATCTCAGAAAGGTAATAAATGGCATCAAGTCAAAATGGTTAAAATGTTTATTTTTGGTAATATGCTGAATTTTCAGCATAATTGTGTTTATTTATTATTTCAACAGTTATCAAATGGAGTGGACCAGTACATTCAGAAGTTTGAGATGGATAAAGCACTGTCTGAAAAGGGCTCCCTTATAATTTATTTGGACAAGGTACTGTATGTGTTTGATTTCTAAGCTCCTTACCAGTTTCCAAAATGGTTTCTCCCAGACTTCTGGTCCCCTTGTTTTCCCCCAAGCCTGTTTACACTATATGGATGACAGAGTCTTGTCTTCTCTTGTTATACCACAAAGCTCTGGAATTATATTCCCAAGGATATCAGGGAGTCACTTACTGTTAGAGCATTCAAATCCAGACTCAAAACCTTCTTCTTCAGAAAGACTTATGTAATTGTTATCTGTGTCTTCTCCTTGAGTCTTTTTTTTAGATTTCAAATCATTTGTGCTAATTTTATCTATTATCTTTGTTACTGTTTTCATTTTTATAATGATTTTTTAAAACTTTTCCTCTGAAGCTCTTTGAGTAGATAATATAGTAGATAATATACTGTATATATATATAATATATTAAAGTTTATTATTACTTTAACATAAAGTCAGTCTCTCAAAACATCCTATTCTCTCCATGGAGAGTTACTCACAGTTCTCCATGGAGAGTTACTCACAGGCACTCGGACGGTAGCTCATTCTTCCTCTGGTGATACTGCACAAAGGGTACTCTTAGACACCAGATCAATCTGACTATTGGACTTCCATGCTTCTTACTTTTTTAATTGTCAGCCAACCAATTGTCCTGCATAAGAAAGGTAACTGAGAGCATCAGTTCATTCTCTATACCTTTCAGTTGTAATGTGGTCCTGACAATAATTTCTTGTCTGGAGCTGCTGCTCTTTCACATGCAGTTATAATGGAATGCAACATTCATACAAATTGTAGTAAAGATTCCATGTGGTTTAAATTAGTTCATACAGGGAATGACAATACTTCATAAACATTTCCAATGTTGCCGACATAAAAATGGAATAGTGTCCTATGTTTGAATTTGGTTAGGTAGCTAACACTATTAAGATAATGCATACAAGTTTTGGGTCAAACAACTGGAATATTACATATTAAGATAGTTTAGCAATTCCATTGCCACCTAAAGGTCCTTCAGTTTTGGTACCAACAATTACAAGGTAATCTTCTCAATTGTTTATTCAGGCTGTATTCAAATTATTTTTCCATATTAAAAGTGGGATGAGAATCTTGTAATTCGTTTGTACATTTATAATCCATATTTTAAAGCAAAGAGGACTTGTATCTGTAAGTCGTTATTACTACTGCAATTAAGAATCACTAACGTCCCAGATATTTGAGACCCAAGTGGTAGAGAACTGTTCCATAAAAGGATCAAATTTAATTTGATCCTGTTGTTGTTAGAAAAAAAACACTCCTAAAAAATGTAATTCTTAAAAAAAAAGTAAGATTCATGACAGAAGATCCATACTAAAAAAAAAAAGGACAAATCTCACCCAGAACTATAATTCTGGTTTAAAATATTTGTCAGAATTATTTGTACTGGCTCTGTCTTATTACTTCAGATTTAGTAAGAGCCTGAAGAGACTGTGGAAACCATTCATTCAGGCTAAATACTGGAAGCACCTCTCTAGCATTTATCTCATAAGTAATAAACAATGCTCTATATTGACTTCAGTTGCTTTAAATAGCCAGAAGGAATAAAAATAAAAATAATGAATATCTCTTTAATGAAACATCATTGTAAACTCTGCTTTGTATTGTTTTAAGACAAAATAAATTCTTTTTGGGCAGGTCTCCCACAAGCTGGCTGACAGAATTGCATTCAAAGTGCACAAGATGTACCAAGTGGGTCTAATCCAACCTGCAGCAGTGGCTGTCTATGAGTACTATGCTAATGGTATTATTATTAATAACTCAGCATTAGCTGTGATACTACTCTGAGAAGAAAGAAAAATGTAGAGTTTTAGTAACACAGATATAGGATGTAGAGTTTTATTTTTTGTTCAGTGTTTTAAAATATTTTAATTACAATTCTATCGGCATTCATATGGATGAAAAGTATCCATATTCAGACATTATTTCTGTTCTTTATGAAAGTTGAACCAAAATATAGTCCCTTGGAATAGCAGGGTGTTTTTCTGATAATATTACACGTTCACAATTCTCAGAAAAGCCACAGTTATTGACCTGTATCCAGTCACCCAGTGACACTGGTGCCTAGCAATTCTGTTGTAAGTTGTAGTTTCAGAGTGTGAAAAAGGAAGGTGGAAAGTGGTGTAAATAATCTTTGCCACACCAAATATACATGTCATTAGGGTGGCAAAGTGGCTCAGTGGCACAGTGGTTAGCACTGCTACCTCACAGCTCTTTAGTCCTGGGTTTGATTCTTGACCCGGTGAGCTAGCTTAGCGTTGTTTGTATGTCAATTCTGTGTTTGTGCAGGTTTTCGCTAGGTGCTCCAGTACCCTCCCACAATCCAAAGACATATTGGTACAGTAGGTTAATTGACTTCTGAGAAAACTCACTTTGGTGTGAGTATATGCGTGTCTATGTGTCTGTGCCCTACTATGGACTGGCATTTCATCTAGAGTGAACCCTGCCTTGCTCCCTTTGCATTCTGGGATACAGTCTGGCACCATCACAATCCTGAATTTAATGAAGTGGTTTAAAATAGATGGCTGAATGGATACATCATTATTTGCATTATGGTATGCTCTTATGTTATGCTCTTTTCTGTGAGTAACACTGTAAACCTCATGTAATTCCAGAGAACCGCTGTGTAAAATTCTATCATCCAGAAAAAGAAACTGGAACGCTCAGCAGAATCTGTCAAGGGGATGTGTGCAGATGTGCAGAAGGTATCATGTCATTTTACTAACATATGATAAGAATATTTAAATCATAAATAATTTATTAATGTAGTTTGCCACCCCTAACCTAATGTTTTACCAATGACACAATGAAAACAGGCAGATGTGTGATGCAGTGAAATGAACATGAAGTGAACATTACAGAGGAAAAGAATGAAACATTTTGCCCAGAAATCAATTGAAAATTAAAGAGAACTGTTTGCAAGCTAAGACACATATTATAGGTAAAACAAACATCAAACTAATAGTTGTGTCAGCACTTTATAATGATTAAGACAAAACTATAATTAGATTAAATTTTACATCTGAACTGCAATGTGTTAAAACCAGTTAACTTGTCTTAGATAATATTATATTACAATATTTAAAATATGAAGAGATTAAAATTGATGTTGTAAAGCTTTAAAATAAAAACACACTACGATCTGGAACAATGAATCACAGAACCAGACCTTCAATGCACCATTTTGTTCCTGTGTACAATGTAGAAATCCTTAAGTCTTTCTCCTCCCTCTTCATAGAAAGTTGCAGCAAGCAGAAATCAAGTAAAGACGAGCTTGATATTCCAGTTCGTCTTACTGCAGCATGTGACCCTGGTGTGGACTACGGTAAATCGAATTTAACTTGGATTTAGCAATGGGATATGGGGTTTTATCATTTAGGCAAAATGCTGGAAGAAATTGCGACAATAAAGTAAAGAGTATTTGTTGACTTTTAGAAACCTTTTACTGCTTAATACAGATGCAGCCATTAAAAATGCACGGTACAAACCCGTACCACAGGCAACTACGTGGCGCCACCGCACCGTACCGCGGTACGTGATTGGCTTGCCAAAATGACCGATGGGCACTCGTGGTGCATTGGTCGGTAGTGAAAAGATTTAATCATTTAATCTCTTTACTGTACACATTTTAATCCGCTTAGTATTGAATATTTATATGGAATTTTACCACTAAAGGGAATTTTTAGTAGCTGAGCATAAAAAGAAGAGGAGCATAA